TTTTTTAAATATTTATATTCATTTTCAGGTTGTGGGTTTCATTCCTCTAATGTATATGTGTGTTTGCACGTATTATTCTTTATTCAAAATTGGAATGTTGACTTTCTACTCGCTTACTCCAAGTCAAACAAGTTCAGTCAGTCTTCTAATGATATGCTCGTAAGTATTTTACTATTTTTAGCATTTAATTATTCGTTACATGATATAAAATTATAAATAAAATAATTATAATTCTGATATAAAATCTCTTATCAGACAGGTGGCACGTTATGCACCTCCAATTTCTTACAACTTTCTAAATCTTATTCATCTTCCACGTGATGCCACCACTCTCTTTGAACGTGTATGACTTTCATCTTTATTATCTTTTATGTTAATGTTAATTCATGCAAAAGTTAAAATAGACTCTTTTATTTATTTATTTATTTTTTCACAAATGTAACTTTGTGTTCACAAAATACCATTATTTTAATAATCTTTTGTGAACAAAATAAAGTGTTCATTACTTCATGGTATTTTGTAAAAACACATATAGTTAAAAACCCATTTACGACAATAACCCTTTTAATTATATAATTAATTAACTTTTATTTATAAATATAAAAAATTGGGTTGATCTAAAAAAAGTCTTGTATTTTGTGTTTTTTCCGGATTAAATTAAACCTCAAATTTATTTTTTGCCTGAAAAAGAAGGCCTTGTACTTTTTCATTTTTTTTCCAATCTGGCCCTTTTGGTTGGTTTTTTTCCAAAACAAATTGTAAAATACGAGTGTTTTTTTCGAGAAAAACTAAAAAAGATAAGAGGGTTTATTTGGAAGCATTTAGAAGGTTGAGAGTTTTTTTTTTTGGAAACAAAATACAAAGTTGAGGGTTTTACATAGAAAAGTCCTAATAGTTTTTTTTTGAACAAAAAAGTCCCGATTATTTAACATTTTGCCCAAATTAACGAAAAAGTCTTTTTTTTTTTAATTTTAACATCAAATGACAGATTATGTGATTTTTCCAAATTAATGAAAATTTTCTGTTAAAAAGAACATTCAGTACTATATCAAAAAACTTCCCAAAATAATGGGACTTTTTTGCATAAAACCATTTTTTTCCCAAAAATAATTGTAAAATATGAGGGTTTTTTTGAAAAAAAAACTAAAAAGTTAGAGGGTTTATTTGGAAGCATTTAGAAGGTTGAGAGTTTTTTTAAGAAAAAAAATATAAAGTTGAGGGTTTTCCGTAAAAAATGAAAAAAAAAATACAAGGTTTTTTTCTAGGAAAAAATAAATTTGAGGTTTAATTTAATCCGGAAAAACACAAAATATAAGTCTTTTTTAGATTAACTCTAAAAAATAAAACATAATAAACGCCCATCAAAATCCAAAAAGTTGATATTAAAAAAAAAAAAAATCTCTTTTGTTATTTCAAACATTATCTTATTGCTGAGGTGTATATGTATTTTACATGTAACAGAGAATGGGGAAAATCGATGATGCAGTGCCTTTTTTTGGGGAAAATTTCAATAAAATCTATCCACTTATTATGGTTGTATATACCATATTAATAGCAACTAATTTTTTCGATCGAGTTATGAGTTATTTTGGCAATTGGAATATATTCCGATTAAAAAATGAATCCGAAGCTGATGACCTTGATGGATTTGATCCTTCCGGATTAATGATCCTCCAAAAAGGTAAATTTTTAATTTTACCATTCTTCCCAAAATACCCCTCCTTATTTTTATTTTTATACATAAATATTTTTGAAAATCCCTTGTAGAACGCTCTTCGCTTGAGAAAGGACATAAAGTCGGTGAACTCGTTATTCCCCTTGCACGACATTTCAATGGCACAAATACAAATACAGATGTTGAATCTGGAAATGGAAACGATACCACTGTAAATGACCTCTATACCCCTGATAAATATTATAATTATATTTCCCCTTTTAACTTTTTTGCTATTTTTTTAGGATTCAAGGGCGACAACCACTTTAATCAACAATGGTAATAACCATCGAGAAGTATCTACAACAAACATTCGTGACAACATCACTAGAAAATACGAATCATCAAGGGCAAATTCGTCCAAAAAAGAATCTCCTTCCATCTCTTCTATTAACATAAACGAAAGTCATAGTATGGAAAGTGGACAATCATCCAAAATAGCCTCCACGTGGGTGTCAATGAAGTCAAATTTCCAAAACTTTAAGGCTAAAATGGAAGCTAAAAAATTCACACCTTTACAACAATATCAAGAAACACAAGGATCACAAGGCTCTTCTGATACATTAGATGACATTTTTGAGAGGTTGAAAAAACCCCCACAAGATGATAATACCCTGTAAATTTTCTTCGATAGAAACATTTTTTTTTGTTTTTTTTTTAAGATATATTTGATGGGAACAGAGTTAGCATAGGAGGACAAAAACACAAGAATTGTGATATGTAATATTAAAAAAAGTAGAATGTATGTTTCTTAATACGTACAAAACCCATGTATACAACTAATTATGATGCAATTAGGTATAATTAATTACTTAATTAAACTCATTACACTATCTCATGTATATCTCGTATTACTTATAGCATGTGAGACAAAACTGCCTTGTGAGATACATAGATTTTTCGTATCATATACATACATGTATGCAATGAAATGGAACAATCTGTCAATACTATTAATCGAACTCTAGAAATAATAACCTTAAGAAGTGGAATAATCTATGCATGTAAAATAATAACCTTAAGAAATGGAATACATCAAACTCTAGAAAATATGTACAACTACTGAGGGATGACTTCAACTCATCAACACTCATTCGTGATATTTGACTATTTGTCAATACTATTAATCGGCTCATGGTCCATGGCTTGGAAAAATGGTTATCACTTTTCGATAACTTCCTAAACCCAACTGGAAATCCACCTTACTCTAGAGGTTACAAATCACAATATCATCGACAACTAAAAAATAAGGCCTTTACATTAAAAATAATAGTAAAGGATGATATTTTTTTATAATGAGGCTCTTGTTATAAATTTATCCATAAATAGTTTTTGTAATAATATTAGTTGTTTGGTTTTTTGTTTTTTTTCTTCATTTTCTCACTACCATATAAATATTTTCTAGGCTAACATGTTATTATTTTAAACTAATAAAACAATATCAATGAGAAAAAAACAAGTAAAGAAAACGAAAACACCTAGTTGTAAACTTGTGATGTCAAATTGTTTTCATAATTGTTTTCTAGTAATTTGTAATGATTTTTGAATGGTTTCCAACCTTCAACTTCATGAATCTCAAAATTTATGATGTTGAGATTTCAAGTTATCTACAGAAAATAGAAAAAAAAACACATAAATTATTATTATTATTATTATTATTATTATTATTATTATTTTTATCAAAAACTAACATCAAAGAAGTGAAGAACAATGACAAAATCTTAAAATTTACACAAATCAGATTAACATGAATCATAAATTAGAAATCAAAATTGATAAGGCTGTTTGAAATAAAATTAACACGAATACAATAACATGATTACATGATCGATTTTTTTGAAGGATGTGTGAAATCAATTGAAATCAGAAAAAAAAAAAAAAAAACGAAAATTGAAATCGGTAATCAGAAGGCTGCTTGAAAAAATCAAAATAGATTTATTATAATAGACTTTTTTTGTTACCGTTGAAAAAACTTAGACTTGATTCATAAAGTTCTTCGATCGATAGTGGTGAGAGGGCTAATGCGATGATCATTCCAAAAGAATCACACGTCTCTTAGTCTTCTCTGCTGATTTTGTTATGACTTAATTTTCTTTCTTTTTCTTAGTAAAGTAAGCTAGGTTGAAGTTCTTGCTTCATAATCCTCCTTTAGCTTTCATTTTGTTCTAATGGTTTCTTTATAGTTGCTTCCTAAATTTAATATAATTTGTTGTTCCAAAAAAATAAAAGAATAAATAGGCAAAATTGCAAACATGGTCCCTATGGTTTCTCATTTTATGTGGCTAAGGTCCAAACCTTTGAAAAGTTACAGATTTAGGTGCTGTTTGTTTTTTTATAAAAAAACATCTTCAGATCTTTTATTGCTGCGTGGCGCAGCACACGCGCAACACTTTTCATCTTGCACCTGTTTGTTTTTTAGAAGTCTTCGGAGTAAAAAACTTTTGCGTCTGTTCTGTTTGGCGCAATATTTGTATTGCCTCTTCCAACCTCTTTCAACCTTTTTTTTTTCTTGTTGAAATCTTGATTATATGTTGCTGAAATCTTATTTCATTTTTTTCGTTTTTTTTTGTTTATTCTTGTTGATTTTTTTATATTGAATAATGATAATTTTTTGATGAAATATCATTATTTTTTGTTAAAATATCTTTATTTTTTTGTTGAAATATAATTATTTTTTGCTGAAAGATTATAAATTATTGCTGAAATGTCATACATTATTAAATTTTCGGTATTAAAAAACTATTTTCGGTTTATAAAATCAGTTTATTTTAATTTTTTAATATCTGCAGCAGCATGCAGACGTTAAAAAAACAAACACGCTTCTTATTACAGTCTGCAACCGTTTGGTCAACCTCTTCTACTGCAGAAGGGTTGCAGAGGTAGTCCGCAAACTTCATGAATTTTTGCTTCAAAAAAAACAACACCTTAGTCATTTTCAACAAGTTTTGTTGTGGTTTTGGTCTCATTTTCGTTAACTTTAATAACTTGGCAGTTAATTTTTTTTAAATGAAAATTTTACTCTTATGGACCATTTTTACAGTTGTCTTTTTACCAAACTACAAGGACCATTTCTACATATCTTCTTTTTAGTTTTATTGAATTGTTATATATTAATAAATATTGTTTTTAATATATAATATTTATATATTAATAAATATTATTTTATTGGATTATTAATTAATTTTAATTAATTTTCTTAATTCCTTTTTTATCGGATTATTATATATTAATAAATATTATTTTATTGGATTATTAGTTTCTTTTAGTTATTTTTTTAAATTTCGAGTAATTCTTTTTTATTAGATTATTATATATTAATAAATATTATTTTTAATATATAATATTTATATCCTAATAAATGTGACATTTCTAGATTATTAATTTCTTTTAGTTAAAATTTTTTAATTTCTTATTTTGGATTAATTCTTTTTTATTAGATTTTTTCATATAATAAATATTATTTTATTGGATTATTAATTTATTTTAATGTATAATATTAATTCTTTTTAATTTTATTAGTTCCACCACAAAATCGTCGGAATATGCAAATTTGCCGCGTTTCGTCATCGAAAATCGCCGGGATCACCGCCAAATACCTTTATTGCAGGTAGCTTATAATAAGAAACCACATGGACAAAACCACCATCACCACCACCACCACCACCATCATCTGGTCATCACCAACAATTAAATTGTGTGTGACATGGAGGTTTATGGCGGATTGTGAAGATGTTGTCACAGGTGGTTACCGACGACGATGGTTGGAATAGGTTGGTGGGGTTTCCGTTGGACCTCCGATGAAGGTGTTTGGCGGTGATCACGAAGATTTCAATGATGAGAGGCGGCACTTTTATGTATTCCGATGACTTTGTGGTAGAACTAATAAAATTAAAAAGAATTAATATTATACATTAAAAATAAATTAATAATCTGATAAAATAATATTATTGTATAATGAAAATAGTAAACTAAAAGTAAAAATCCAATAAAAATGAATTAATACAAAAAAATGATTAAAAAAATTAACTAAAAGATATTAATAATCAAATGTAATATTTATTAGGATATAAATATTATATATTAAAAAAATAATGTTTATTAATATATAATAATCCAATAAAAAAACTACTTCGAATAAATAAATTAACTAAAAGAAATTAATAACACAGTTAAATAATATTTATTAATATACAAATATTATATATTAAAAATAATATTTATTAATATATAGAATTGTAATAAAAAATCGGATAAAAAAGTAATTAAAAAAATTAATTAAAAGAAGCTAATAATCCAATGAAATAATATTTATTAAAATATAAATATCATATATTAAAAATAATATTTGTTAATATATAATAATTCAATAAAATTAAAAAGAAAGGATGCAAAAATGTTCCTTGTAGTTTGGTAAAATGATAAAATGGTAAAATGATAAAACTACAGAAAGAGTCATTAAGGGTAAAATTGTCATTTTAAAAAAATTAACACTCAAACTGTTAAAGTTAATAGAAGAAGGACCAAAATCACAACAAAACTTTTTGAAAATGACGCAACTTTTCAAAAGTAAAAAGATAATCCCGCTTTTTGGTGTTGTGGGTCATATTCCATTAGATGAGTTCTCTTTTGGATCCTTCATATTGGAACAAACTCGCACGCACAAGGTCACAAGGAAGTGGATCTGAGGTAAGTAATCTTTACTTTTCTAGTTTTTCGAAGTACATTGCAATAATAGTAAAACTTAGATTGTAGGTTGTATGTGCACTTAGGTATATCAAGTTTTAATTTTACCGCTACATATGAGTTGTGTACTTATGCTTTTAATCATCAACTTTGCAAAATTTGAAAAATACAAAGAAACTTGTTAATCGGTAGGCATGGCGTGCTTGCCCGGATTTACAGATTTGGGTTTTTTACTAATTTCGAAAATCTAGGGATAAGCTTCCATTTTAAGACATTATGTTAATTGTTTAATTCTGAATATTCGAATTTGATAATTAATTTGGAATATTAGTTAATTAAAATTAACTTTGAATATTTATTAATTAAATTTGAATTTTATTTAAACTAGAATTAAAATTTAAATGTTTATCTTGAACTTTATTAATAAGAGACTTAAATTAGAAAAAACAATATTATAAATTTAAAAGTCTAATATTATTATATGGTATTATTTACTATTCGTAAAATATTAATACCACATGTGTCCTCACATGTTAATAAAATACATTGTTGTTAAATCAAATCATATCTCACCAAATCTAATACTGGTTTAAGGAAGTCTCTTTGATTCCTAATGAGGTTAGTGTTTGAAATGCTTTGCTTTTACCACCCGCATCGCCTTTCGTATATTGAGAGTGGAGTTACCGAGAGGGTTCAATCGGATTTTGTATTTCAAGATTAAAAGTATTAATCAAGTAATAAAGCAAAATTCCATTTTTATATACAATTAGAAAACGTGAGTCATGTGCTTCCCATTAAAACACATATTTTAGTTATATTCTGCTTATGGAGCATTTGTGGTTAACCGACATATGATTTGCGAGAATATAACTTTAAAATGATGAGTCGCTTGTGAAATTATTCTGTTGATGGAGCGTGTGTGTGACTAAATGAGATGTCAATATGAGAATAAGTTTATATCGATGATCAAACATTTTTGCATGGTTAATTCACCATCTATTTAATGGTTCACGGTATCACCATCATTAAATTTGAGATGAGCACAATCGAGATTAACATGCCATTGAACATCAATGAATCTCAAATTATC